TGGGGGGGGGGGGGGCGAGGAATGGAACATTTACGATGTTAGTGAAAAATAGTAATCGTTATCTCTAATTAAAACAACGCACTCCATCTCCTAAGCAAGGATTAACCATTTTAAAACTACTTTCATGTGTTCAATCATGTGTTCCATTGCGAATAACTAAAGCCTGGCACAGTAGTTGTAACCGAAATTCATTGCCGACGATTGGGAAGACTAAACAAGAAACTAAAAAGTAATATGACAATGTCCTCTCCATTTCCAGTCCCCCCCCCCTCCCCATGAAGCAAGAGAGCGAATTCCCAACAATTTGAGGACCTAAATTGAGAGGTTCTGCCAATTTCTCCCCATCATCACGTTTTCAGGTCTGTGGAACCTATTCAAAAAGAAAAGATTTTCAACTGCGACTAAACTATAAAATCAAGCGATTGGATTATCTTTTTCAAAATGAAATAAAAATAAACACAAATGCAATGAGAAAGAGTTAAAGTTGATTCTAAAATACATACCAAGTGATATACTAGATGTAAATCATTCTGTTGAAATGCTATTTTGTGTTGATAACCCTAATTGTATAAGGTTTGGAAAATCTAAGAGGTATATTTTGTTCTGTGATTTTCCCAATCAAGCCCTCATTCTGTAACCAGAAATGAATTTCCTCTAATATACGGCAACTTACTTGCAAACATATTTATTTTCCTCTATATATTGCTCTTACTTAGCCAATTTTTAAGCTTTTTCTGCTTTTTATCACTATTGCACAGAGAGAAATTAAAAAGTAATAATATTGATTGTAATCGTCCAGATACGCCTGAAGTCTATAAACCTAAAATACTGCCAACTGAATATCCCAAATTATAGTACCCCACAAGTTTTATTTAAGCATTGTCATATAACCAATTTCCTCAATGGTTTGGTGAACTGGGAATTAAAATGAGAATTTAAAATAATCCAAAATTATTAGTGGCGTATCACAGCTTCTCTATCTGTTCTGAACTGCTTCATATATTGTAAGATTGAAGCGTGGAAGGCGATTCCACGGAACAGTTTACAGTTCATATGTGTAGTCATAATTCAATTGTCCGATAAACAATGGATATGACCAATCAAAACGAACAATCATTCTAATTTGAAATAAAAATTCACACCAAAAGTAATCTCATTTCTGAAATGTTTCCAATGTTTGAAGTTCGAATTATGTTCGCAAAATTGCATGTAAAGAACACCTTTTAAAGTTAGCTCTGTGAAAATTAGTCTCCATCGTAACTAAATGCCTTTTGTAAGTTGGGAATGAACTTTCAACTTTCAAATTTGCAAAATTAGTGATTCATACATATATCTTGCACACATTGTCATCATTAAGTAATTTTTTACTTCTGATGTTTCCAAAATTGCCTCAATTTCCTCACCAATTTTCAATTACACGAGATATGTTATTATTATTTCAAAAGGCAGGCTTTGTGTTAGTTATCATTAACTCCACTTGGGATATGTAAAAAATTACATTATTAAAGTGAATAAATTGCTTTAATCTTACGCTCATTATTTTAATCATGAATTATATCGCAAATAGTACTTTGTTCCTTGATTAATCTGACTCCAGCCAAATATTTGGTTAAGGCTGCAAAATACTACGCTTTTTACTGAAATTTCACTTTTATTTTCCAGAAATACTAGGCGTGAGACCAATTCATCAATTTCAATAGCTTTGTTGATGTAGAATCTTAGCATAATCAAGTCATAGGTAAATGACGATGAACATATTAAAGACAGGCAAATGGAATTATCCTTAAGTTTAAAATAATTGAAAGTACCACAGTAAACCGCCAGGTACTCACAAAAGCCGAAATTTAATCAAGTAGATAACCCTAAAACCCATTTCAAAATTAAAAACATTTTGTTTTAAATATATTTACTTTAATATACGTACATAAAAGGGGTTCGTAATTACCCGTCATCGTCTGAACTATTCGAATCAGAAGTTGTTGTACTGTAGTCCCATTCATCAGAAGAGGAAGAGGAATCTCTCCTTTCTCTCTTATGTTCACTTTCCTCGGCACTGCTTTCACTAGATTCGCTGGAAGTTTCGACATCAAGAGGGGTAAAATATCCTGTTGATTTAAGAGTGTTTGCTTCTTCAAGCATTGGAAGGAATGCACGAGCTTCATAGTTGTCTGGTTCAGCTTCAATAATTTTCTGACAAAGTAAAAGTGCCGCATCAAAACGTTTGTACATCACACTATCGAGAAATTCCAAAAGTAGCTCATTTGATGCCCCTGAGTAAGTTGGATCAGCATCCGAATATGAAAAAGATTTGTCACCTGACATTGACATTATAAACGCCCAGATGCATGTAACGAACAAATTAAAGGAAAAATAAGAAATGAACGCATCATCGTTGTCAGTAGATCAAGTTGGTGATGACCCGTTGTAGGCCATTTTGCAAATATAAACAAATGAGCAATTTAAAATTTAGTGCAATTTTACTCAAAATATAAGAGATGGAAGTTTTATATATGTTTTAAACTCAGATGAAAAGATAAAAAAAACTTAGGCAATGTAATAAATTGTTTCATGCACAAGAGCAGTTTATTAAATAAGTGACCGAGATTTTCTTACTTAGAAATTATAATCAAATAAGTATTCCTTGTAATTTACCTTGATTTCTATTAATTAGCTATGATTTGAAAGTGTAAATAGTAAATATTGTTAAAATTACTTTCGTATTTAGGATCTGACATACCAACAATATACACCGACTAATATTTTGCACCACTTCACAAAATGCCCAATTTAATTCTCCCGCATTGCTCCCAAAATGGATTGGATAATGCGATTTAGTTAAAGGGATTCTTTGGTTGTCAATCGGAAACAAAGATTTTTAACTTGATTCTGTTTACGGATGATGGTTCAACATTCATGTTTCTAAAAGGGCACATTGAAATCCAAGTTTATCGGATCCATTTAAATATATGTATATATTTTAACAGCAATTTAGAAAAAAAATTATTTTAAAATGTCCTTTTGTGAGTTACTTGTAACTCATGGGAATATTATAGCGGCATTACAGCAAGCCAAATTAAGTGAACATAAGATGAACGGTAATTATTTAATTCATCGATAAGCTACAGAGGAAATATACATTTTCTTTGCTTTGAATTACTATCTTCAAATACATCAAAAATATTCTATAATAGTACTTAAAATTTGGCTTTTATTAATTATAGTGACGCATATCTGTGTCTTTATTGAGACCTTAATACATCAAGTTTAAAGAACAAGTTTGACGTGTAACGTAGAAACGGTTAAATTATATGTCTACTTACTCATTTGACAATAAAAACAATCTAGCTGACTTATTTACAAATTTATAGGTCGTATACCTTAACTATGGCATTAGATGTTAAACATGTCTGATCGTATCCATTTGAGGTTTGCCACGATGGAACAACGCCACGGTGGAAAGCTCTGAATGGTTTTTAAATATCCTTTCTTTTACTTTAAAATAAATTGTCCAAAATTCAACATGAATACTAATTACATTTCAGCTCATTTTCAAAATCTTATGGCCGTACAGATTACTACATCCGATCTCATTACAAACAGTTTCAACACCACTTGGAATTACTAGTTTTATCTGCTGTTGATATAATTGTAAAACAGTTTAGGGTTAGATATCTGCAAAAATGCTAATCAGTATGAGTATGACTGCGGTATATAAACCAAAATTTTGTATTGACAAGCCAAGTGATTTACGGTAAATCGATTATTTAAAAATGCGTTCTATTCTTTAAATAATTCAATTTATAATCCCGTTGAGTGTCTTAGGGGACTATAAACTTGACTCTGTGTAGCAGTTAAACCATTCTTATAATGACATTTATCGCTATAAATTTAATAAGTCCGATCATCCCATTGTCTGTTTTAAATCATTCAGATAATAATGAGATATTAAGCAGTTTCACTAAACGATTCTGTACAAATCTATTTATTTTAAGTTTTATTTTATATTAGTATACACTTTGACTTTTATGACCACTAATTAATGTCGGTAAATATGTGGGAGTACTGCCTGTAAAGTCAGACTGCTCACTTGAAGATATTCGCATTTTGCTCCAACGTATTTAGGCAAATTAGAATTTGTATACATGTTAACAGATCTCAGTACACTAAAAGACCACTTGCGAACTAAATCTACCATATCAACCTAAGAGGAAACTATAAACTAAACAGAGAATTATTTCCTCTTTTTAACATATTGAAATCACTGAGAGGATAAAGTTTGAAATCTTAAAAGGGTCATAATTAACACTTGCTTCGTAAAACTCGATTAGCTTTAGGAGTTAATGTGCACAGCAAAACTTTAGAATCAACCTACTCACGAGTGTAGAAGAATTTGTAGCAGATAAATTATATGGGATTGTGCGTCGGAAACATCATCAATAAGAGTTTCAAGAGTGGGGAAGGAGATCAGTAAAGAGGGCCTAGTAGTAGCAATATTGAACACATAGCAGTAAGTAGTCTAGTTCCCTCCTTTAGTCTGCGAGGTGTACTACACCTATTTGATTTAAACTGGTGATTGGGTGCTTTGAATGTCAGAGCTTTCCATTGGTCGTCGTGATTGCTAGCCCAGCCTAGTTGCGATTTACTTCGCGGCCTAAGGTCAAAAATTTGCTTAATTTTTAGAAGCGTGTACAAATGGGAGTGAGTTGGGAAATTTTTGCTTCTTTTATATTACTGGATTTTAATATAACAGGCTGTTTTTTCAGGACGCAAGGGCAGACCGAGTTAAAAAAGCCATAAAATCTTATCCAGATTTTCCGAAAGCTGGAATAAACTTTCTGTTAGTTTTATCATAATCATTATTTTTTAGAGATATTTTCCCTATTTTTCAAGATCAAGGGACTATAAATGATTGCGTCGCTCTGATGACAGAGGAAATTCAAAAGCGCTTTCTAAACGGGGGCGAGGTACAACATGAAATTCCAATTAATTCCTATGTAGAAAATCGATGCCATTATTGGTCTGGAGTCTCGGGGCTTCATTTTCGGAATTCTTATCTCAACGCATTTTAAGGTCCCCTTTATTCCCATTCGAAAAGCTGGAAAATTGCCCGGCGAATGCTCGAAGTACTCGTATGATCTCGAGTATGGTTCGGTAAGCCATTTGAAAATCTTTAAATTCTTCTCAGTTTTTCTATTCTGAGCCTAGTCTTTAATGATTGGATTCTATGTTAACCTTTTGAATCATCATAGCTACGACAACTACCTTGTATGTCTGAAAGTATGTGGTTTACGATTATTTTCTCTATTCATATTTACTTATATATTTCTGTTGTTTATTCTCCCAACAAAGTTGTCCTTACTACTAGTTAATTGCTACCACCGTTAACGTCGCTTTTTTGCCATATTTCTGTATGTGAATTACTAGCTGCAAATATTTAATTAGGGTTACTTTCTTGGTCAAAACTTATAGCTAATTTTCTTTTTCTTAAATCTACCGGTGTTATATCATTTTATTGTAACATTTTGGGGCTGTATTAAATCAGGTAAAATCTCAATTCCAAATAATGTTTAACCAGATAGCCAGATAGATACTTTTCTCCTTAATTTAAAGTCGGACGTTAGAGCTTCACAAAAGGAGCCAATTGACCTTGGTAGTTAATTTGCAACGTGACCACTTTGTACCTGTATTGACCCTGATCCTCCAATCAGGATCCAGGTGTCAGCTTCCACCAATCCGGTTTCTCTTTGGGATTGGCGTCCCTCGTAGTCTTCCGCAATGACAATGGAATTGTTGCATCTGCGAATTCTTCCTTGTACCCAGATTAAGAGCTTTTAGAAACTCTATAAACAAAAATTTAAGTTTGCAAAATGTTTCTGCCTTCTAACTTTCACAGGTTCCTGAAGTGCTTTTCCCCTTTCAAATTGTCTGTAGCGGATTGCTACGCTAGTAAAGCCTGACCGATTCAGAAATCTCTATGGCACCCTAAGTAAAGCCTGACTGACTTAGAAATCTCTATGGCAGATTCTCCTGACTCAGAAATCTCTTTGGCAGATTCTCCTACATCTAGACCGACTCAGAAATCTCCATGGCAGATTCTCAAACATCTAGCTACCGGCTCAGAAATTTCTATGGCAGATTCTCCAACATCTAGCTAGGAATCAGAAATCTCTATGGCAGATTCTCCAACCTCTAGCTAGAGAACAGCTAAGCTATAGCTCAGCTATAAAGAAAACAGACGTGTAGCACGGAGCGCGTTTATATCTGTGGCAGATTCTCCTACATCTAGCTAGACTCCCAGAACGGCAGATTCTCCAACATCTAGCTAGACTCCCAGAACAAGCTAGGCTATAGCCCAGCTATAAGGGAAACAGACGTGTAGCCCGGAATACGTTTATTCGATACGTATATAAATAGTGAAGTGTCGAGTTTGGCAAAGCGATTAGTTATCAGGTAACTCTAGCATAATTCGTGTGAACATTAATAGCTAAAACATTTCTGAGTAGGGTTCTATAGCAGGATTTCTATTTGGTCATTGATGATGTGTCCCACATGTCCTTTAGGCTTCGCTATTCATTGAATAAGGTTATTTAATTGCTCGATTCTCTGCCAGAAACATTTCTTATATACTTTTACGTACGACCTGTATTACAACAAAGAAATTTCACTTTTTCTGAATGTCTACCTTAGTTCAAAAGTGTAAGCTAGTGACCTTTTTAATTATTTTTGGTATATTTCGTGCCCCACCTTTAGAAGCATGCCCTTTTTATTAATAGTTTTGCCTAGTGTATACTATCGGCAACAAGGATCATTTGTTACATACACGTTTTACGGTTGCTGTTGCAAAGCTACTGAAACTGAAGTGCTTCAATGTGCTTTCTTCAATTAAACCACATCTTAGATTGCACAACTAGTTTCATTTAAAGTCTGGTTTTGACTAGTTTACTCAAGTTGTTAAGATCTGTGCTAACCTGTCAAGTTTGGGACACATCTTTAGCACATCGTAAATTAGCCCTTTTTGATCTGGTTTCCCTCCGTTGTGGTCTATATGGTGGCATTAACTTTGAAAATGTCAGTTTCAATACTAATGCTGATTATTTGCTGTCGCTAAAATTTTGGGTTTTTATTTTTGATTATTTGAGCTAGTAAAGGGGATTTTTGAAAGAGAGCGCGCGATACTGAGGTTGAATGCACATTTTGTATTCTACTTCTGTTTCTTTACGTGGTCAGTGCCGTTTTTTATGAAAGCGTAGTCTTTTATTTTAAATGCCAAATATTGTCGACCTTTGCATCAATCCGCGCGTCTATTTCCGTAATGATTCATACCATCTTTGCGCCCAAAAAAACATTCTTAAGCATCCAGACAGATAATGCCTTTGCAGGTTATTGTCTAAAATGCAGTGCGCTTATTCACATCTCATATCGTGTGACTTTCTGTGAATTGTTGAGTGTATGCATTCCTGTCATTACTTGTGTTTTGAAGGTAGACTAATTGACGAAATAACAAGTCGAATATGGCTGTTTCACACTGTTAAAAATCAAACGTTATAGGAATTGGAAGCGGAGAAATTCTTGAATCTCTTCCTCGAGCTCAAGGTTTTTTCCAGTTTTCCTTTTAAACTTTCTGTTACTACTTTTTTATCAGTTAACTTCTCAAGAAATTTTTCTTTATTAGCATTCTAATGCTATAGCCATTTACTATTCTGGCGGAAAAGTCCTCTAGTAATCCAAATTTCAGCTCAAAAGTTCTCATCATTTTGACTCATTTGGATAATTTGTAAATTCTTGGCATTACTAACTACTCCGTTTTTTTTGTTTGAAACATTACCAATGGGAAAATATTTAATATAGGCTGAGTAATTATTCATTTCTATCTTTAAATAAAGGCGACGCTGGAGTTGCAGAAATCTGCTCTCAAGCCAGGATCTAAGGTGGTTATAATCGATGACGTCTTGGCAATTGGTGGCACAATGAGCGCTGCTGCCAAACTCTGCCAAGAAGCCTCCATGGAGATACTCGGGGCAGGTGTTTTGCTTCAAATCGTGCCTTGTAACGGAGGTCGGCGGTTAGACGAAATGAACCTAAAGTGGTTCTCCATCCTTCACTTCGATTAGGCCTCTCTTGTGCGGCTTCCTTCCGCCTCTTCCACTCCCTTCCCCCTACCTCGAGCTTGTTAGTGATATTATTTTTTTGGGAATTTGTGTTGAAATAAATTTTAATGTCCGCGTTGCTTCGTTTTGCTCTTAAAACCTGTTGGTTCCAACCTCTGTGGGTCTTCACCACAGGGCATGAATCATATGAAGCTTTGGGCTTTATTTATCAATCATGTTGACAGTAGTATTTTTTAAAGAAATAATTCAAAATTCGAGTGAAATTTTACTCTTAAGAAAAGAGTATCAAGTCAGTCTCTGTTGAAATGTGTACTTTTCATATGGAGCGATAAATAGATCTGATTCCAACTATACAATTAAATGAAGTATTTTCGAAGTATTATGACATAATCTCAAATGCTCCTGATATGACCTGGTAGACTTCCATCACCTTTCCCTGAGTAGCACTTCGCCTACAGTACAACTGAGGCGGAATCTACTCAAATTTACCGGTAAGTACATAGTTTTTTGTCGAATGGAAAGCACTGCATTTCCTTACAGCAGTTTATTGACGTGGTGACGTCTTAAACTCAATGCTTTGGTTTGACAGCGATTTATGTCAACGTTGGGGAACAACGTTGTTTATTTAAACCGCTCTTGACAGAAATGCTAGTTGTAAAATATATTTTTCTCTCCACTAAAAATATGTACGATTGATGTCAAAACAAGCATTGAAGTTCATTAGTTTGGGCATTAGTGAAGGCATTCTAACCATATAATTAGTTACTTGAGCCTATGCTGCACATTTTGAGCACTCGTGGTGTGTGATTGACTTGCCTCCACGTGGTACACCCTGGACAACGTATACTCATACGGCAAAAAAGTCTATTAACCGGCAGTTGACTTCTGACTTCAAACTACCATGACCCCACTGTATGTCATATTCGACTACTCACAGTACTCACCTCACCTTTTTTCTACCTTTGTATCTGTCTCTGAAACACTTCTGTTCCCCCCCCCCCTCCTCTCGACTTTTTTCACTTTGATGTTCCTTCCCCTCTGTGAAGCCTGATAATCATCAAAACACCTGCCATTTGATATAAATAATACAATGCCCACTTTGAAAATACGTGCAGACAGAATCGTAGTATCAAGGTGCGTTACCGGGACATAGGAATGATTCACCCGAAGTGAACGTCAGTCAGCTCTGTTGCGTTAAGGTCGCGTAAACTGTACGCATCATCCCGCTTTTTCAGGCATTTGGCAGGAAACAAAAGAAATCGCGTGGAACGATAGGGAGCTGTAATTAGACAGTCGACCAATAGGCAGTATTCAAGGTACTTCAGGCAACGAATCATTAAATTCGGCTAGTGAATTGCCCAGGAAGTAAGTAATGCGCAACCCGAACGCACAAAAACATCAAATAAAGTGAAACTTGTTTGATGGTCTGATTTTATTCTCATCATCTTTTCACTAAAATTACCTTTTTTATGGTTTTTTTGCTAACCGATTTTCACTGCCTGTCGTAGGTTATAAAGTAGGAGCTATTAAGAATTGCTGTAATATTGTAACAAGCAACGCTTCATAAATAAATAATGATGAAGAATATTCGTTTTTAGCCCCCTCCCCAGTTGCGAGCTTGCAATGCACTTGGTGGACTCAACCGATGGAATCGTTCATTTTATGGCAATCGAAATAAAGAAAGAGTGCTTTGGTGAATGCCAATTCATCCTCTGGAGTAAAAAATTTGTCCAACTGCACTGTGTAGGTCTGGCTAATAAGGTGATTGTAGAATTGGAGTTTTTCAAACGTGATATGCATTCTTAAAAAGCCTCCTAAACAGACTTTGAAATTGATTGAAAACTTGGCAGGATTTGGAAATATCTTAATGGGTTACCAGAGGCAATGTGCCAATATATGTAGAAGTGCCTGGAGTATTGCCTTATCACGCAAATTGTGACTGCCTGAAAAGGCAGACTCTAGAGCTTTTGATTAGCACGGTGTCAGTTATCACTGATTAAATTATACATGTCTGGTGTTTATAATTATAACCCTTATTTAAAACACCTTTACCAATATAACATGTTGATAGAATGTTCACAACACCAATGACTCACGCGAACTACCCTTCCTGTCAATATGGGATAAATTGACAGGCAAGCATCTCAGCTTATTTGATGCTACCGTAAATACCGGAGTAGAAAAATTAAGCTAGTTTTATAATCATTGGAATTCTTTTAATCACATTAAGAATTGATTGCTGTGGGTCATGGCTTCAACACTCCTTTATCATTTAATGTCTCCAGGTGTAAATAGGGCACTTTCAACTATTTGACTTCTCTTGAATTATATATGGGTGTGCGATAGACTTACCTCCACGTGGTGCACCTGGGCAACGTATACTCATACGGCAAAAAAGTCTATTAACCAGTAGTTGACTTCTGACTTCAAACTACCATGACCCCACGGTATGTCATATTCAACCACTGCCACAGTACTACATCACATTTTTTCTAAATTTTAAACCTTCGTCTTTGAAACTTTCTTCAGTTCCCCTACCCTCGACTTTTTTCACTTTGTTGTTCCTTCCCCTCTGTGAAGCCTGAAGTCAACTAAAGGGCGAACCTTCCCTCTGTGAAGCCCGAAGTCAGCTAAATGGCTCAATGATAACCATCAAAACGCCTGCCATTTGATATAAATAATTAATGATAACCATCAAGACGCCTGCCATTTGATATAAATAAAATAAATATATGGATATTAGCAGTATTATCTATTTAGGTTGGAGCGAATATTCTGCCGAGTAATACCAATATTCAAATCCAATTTAATCCGAAAATTCATTTAAATTTACTTTTTGTGGCTACATATTGCTACAATCTTGAAGGGACACTCATCGGTGGATATTTAGAGGGGAAACTGGCCAAATACATTGACAATGTTTGACTCATTTATTTATTTATATCAAATGGCAGGCGTTGTGAAAGTTATCATTAGCCCTTTAGTTGACTTCAGGCTTCACAGAGGGGAGGAGGAACATCAAAGTGACAAAAAGTTGAGAGGGAGAGGGGCGGGGGGGAACAGAAGAGAGTTTCAAAGATGTAAAAGAGACAGGCATAAAAGTGGAAAAAGGTGAGGTGAGTACTGTGGAAGTAGTCGAATATGACTCATAAGTGAAGGGATAGATAAGTAGTTTCTCTCACCTGTATTAAATGAAGTGCTGGAGTGGACTTCATAAGTGAAATGCGCATTGCTATAAACCCGCTAATGTTGTGGAATTCTAAAAAGTTGATCAAGTTTGTTAAAAATGCTTCAGCTAATTCCTTCTGCTTTAAATCGGTTTCTGCGTTCGATCATGACCTGAGAGCTGACAGCTGTTCAGAAGCTGGAAAGCAGCCAGAATTTGGCAACAGTTGACCTTAGCGAATTATACCCTTCCCACACCCCACCCCACCCCCGGATTAGCCAATGCGGCTTAAGATACGCAAGTTTTTTCCACAGGTGGTCAATAATATGATGTATCGATAACCAAGATTACCCTTTTATTATATCTCTAAAAGGAGTTTTTACTCTGTTTGTCGCATGAAGGCATCTTGGGGTGTGTGTGTGTGTGTATGTGCGTGTATGACAAACAATTTATCTTTAAACGAATGTCTCATTTCTTAACAGAAGTGTTTATACATATATGGAGGCTTGCGAATCAAACAAAAAAAATATATGAATGACGAATCCGTTTAAGGTAACTTATTTAACAGAAATATCTTAGGCGTTCAACAAAACAAATACCTACAATTTTTCATTGCTAGAAACCATTTGAACACCATTTGGAAAAGTGCGGCATTTCAATGCAAAATAGTGTGGCTATAATGAGAAGATTAATTCCGAGTTTTGCTCCATTTGTTTTGTCTTATTCAGGTTTTCCGTGCTTTAATTCGTTTTGTCTTCTGCTGCGAGTCCAAACAAGCCAAGGCCACGTTTCAGATTCAATCCCGTGGTCACCGTTTTAGTGTCCATAGGTTTTGAAGCTGAAGCGTCCAATAGCCTGAATACAGTGTGAGAGGTGAGAATTGGTGTAAGTTGAGCATAGCAGATCCTGTGGTAAGCAGAGAAAAATATGCAACTTCCCGAAATCATCCAATGCCCATGCCAGTATGATGTCACAAAGGGGACGCTTTCATTTCGGCCACTGCAGTTGCCCAAGACATTATCTAAGCACTGTACTGACACTTGTTGAAATTATAAAAAAAGTGGGGGGGGGGGGAGTAGCGATCTGATAAATGTTGCCTTGGCAATCAATCAAATCTGTCTGACAACCCAAATCTTTTAGTCAACTAGTACACATAGAAGTGTATCGCAAAGTATAGTTAATCAACTGGGCTATCACCGATAGTTGCTTACTAACTGTTTTATTCATAAAACAGTTTTCGAACACTTGACAATAATGGTCTAATTCAATCAATTAGGGGGAGGGGGACATAATGAGATAATGCCCTTATTTAAAGCGGGTTGTCCACAACGTAAATTATATTTCCTCAAATTTTCTAATTCCCCACTTTGGAAGTCCCTGGGGGTGT